TTGTACTATTTAGATCCAAATTTATAATTTTTAAAAGTTAAGTCTTATATTACATAAATAATAAAAATAATATAAAATCAAATAAAATCTTATTAAACTCATTCAATTAAAGCTAATTTACATCATATTATATATAAGGATTCAACGAATCAAGTACTATAAGAATGGTTGGAAAATTTTGTATTAATGTTTTACTAAGACTTTTGTTGAGCTATAAATATAAGGTTTCATTTATTCGAAAGAGAAAAATAAAACAGAAGAGGAGAACCAAAGGGAGAACTGTGATGGCAATAGATGAACACAACTTTTAAAGAAATATAAAGGGTACTTTGACCTTTAAGGCGTAAAGGTAAATGAAAAAGAATTAAAGATATATGTTAAGTAGTTGTGCAACTTGTATTTTGGCCTAAGACTTTTCTAACATAAATCATGGGAGATAGAAGGAAATTAGGGTAAAAAGAAATATATATTGATAAATGGAGATTAGTGACTAAGAGAAAATAATGTAGAAAGAAAGATATGGGAGATGAAGAATAATTATAAACAAATTATTAATATAGAGAGAAAAAGAAAAGGCAAACGTAGGGTGAAAAGATAAATATTATGATAAAATGTGAGGTGTGCTAAAAATTGAATCCCCCAAAAAGTAATGAAATGTGGAGTAAAGGTAAATTAAAATGCACTAAGATATTTATGCTAAGATGTTTCATCTTTTAAGTTTTGACCTAAAACTTTTTTAATATAGAAAAGAAGAGAAAAAAATTTGGAGTAAAAAATAGATATATAATATGAGAGGAATGAAAAAAGAAAAAGAATAATAGAGATGGAATGATAATGGGAGAAAAATAATAATAAATTAAAAATGAGTATAGAGATAGAAATGTATATTAGAGAAATAAATATAATGATAGAATGTGAGAGAAAAAGCTAAAAGATAAAGTTCTAAGAAAAATAACGATAGGAGTGAAGTAAAAGCAATTGAAAAGGCACTAGAAGAATAATATTAAGAAGTTATTTCTTTTTTGTTTTGACTATAACTTTTTTAATAAAAACATATTGAAATAGAAAGAAAATGGTTAAAAAATAAGATCTAATAATAAATTGAAATACAGAAAATGTCAAAGATAGAATGATAGAGATGTGAGTATAATAAAAAAGAAATATAAGATAGAGAAATAAATCTAATAATATAAAATATGAGAGGGGAAGTTAAGAGATGGATTAAAGGTAAGTAAAAAATTAAATACTCAGAGAATAATGCTAATAAGTCACACCTCCTTATATTTTGACTTAAAAACATTTTTAATATACATAAAGAGAGAGAAAGACAAATCAGGTTAAAAAAGATATATACAATTAATGATTAAGGAATAACAATAGACATGGGAGGACAAGATATAAAAATAATAAAAAATAAATTATTAATATATTATGAGTGTAAAATAATGGACACAAAAAATGTAATGGAAATGTAAAATAATGTGATAAAACATCAATTTGAGAAAGAGAAATGAGGAGAGATACATATATTAAATTAATTTTGAATTAAAAAATAACAATAATATAAGTGTCACATGATGTTAAAACAAACTAAAGAATTGAAGATGTTTCAAAAAAAGATACGCAGAGAAATACAGTTTTAATATAAAAAATTAAGAAAAATATATTATATGAATATATAGGGATAAGGGCAAGGAAGAGATGATAAGGGAGAGAGAATAATATCAAATAAATTTATTAATTTAAGGAGAAAATAGATAGAGATTATTCACAAATTTTCATAATTTGTAAATATAGTAACAAAATTTGAAAATTTGTCTATATTTTTTAAAATTAAATTGATTAAACTTGCTTAAATCTTCGTTTTTATATCTACTATTCACACTTTTCTTTATGAATTAATACATTTAAAATACTAATTATCAAAAAAAGTACTCTAAATATATTTATAGTTAATTATTATTATAAAAATTTATAATTAGTAAAAAAAAAAAAAATGAACTGTATGAGACCTAGTATAATATAAAAACTTCAAAATATAAAAATATAGTCTTTATGATTAATTATTTTCCATTAATAGTATGTGTTCAATATTATCTCAACTTCCTTGATTGGAATTGCGGGATGAAATTAAGTTTATTGCAATCTTTTGAGAGCCCTTTGACCCTTTCTTTTGCCGCCACATTCCTCTCTTTTGGCATGTTGTTTCGTGGATTTCCCCTTTCTTGTGGCTGCTAGTTTAGGGAAATTTTAGTTTGAGAGCCTTTTGACACTCTCCAATTTCTAATAGCACTTGTTGAGATTTAACTTATATTAAGGTCAATTGATGAAAAGAATATTACCGCAAAATTATGTAAGTGGATTAAATAATAAAGTAAATTAATAAGGAAGAAAAACACTCAATTTAATCTCTATGGTGCCAAATAGTTAATCTTCTAATGTAAAAAAAAGAAGAAGAAGAAAACATCCAATTTAATGTTAAAAATTCTCCCAAGGTATTAAAAACCATAGGGAAGAAGAAAAAAAAATCCATTATTAAAAAAGTTACAATATTAAAAGCAAAACCCTTCTTAATCTTGTATTTTCTCTCCTACACCTAAAAGCTCTCAATAACTTTAAAGAACTATAATAAACCACCCATGGTTAAAAGTCCTTAAACACTCTAATTGAATAGAGAAGTCTAATTATCTCAATACTCAAAGAGAATGGAGTTACTCTCTCATTACCCCATATGGAAGGGTTACAATCACTCCACTTCATATTCCACTCATACCTTTTAGAGTTGCTAATACCATATGGTTATATTAGATTCCAAGTGCTAATGACACTACAATTAATGTAAAAATTCTAATCACACCACAATTAAGAATTTTCAATTTTGATCTTTCATGTATATTGAAAAGAGTTCCTATTTTACAATTCGGATTGTGTTGGACTGTAAAATAAGAATCATTGAATGGGAGAGAGAGTCCCTAATATTAGGGGGTCCACCTCCATCCAATAGTTAAAATTGTGTAGATTAATTCGATTCCGAATTACAAAACCTTTTTTTTTTTTTGTACGGAAAATTGCCTCCAAGCACTTAGGTTCCAAATCTAGATAAGTTTTGAAGCCTCAACACAAGCATCGTATTGTTGTAAAACCAAATTAAAAAGTTTTACAAGCTTTTCATAAGTGGGGATGGGAACGAGCCCACAGGGTCGAAAAGTGCTTTATTGTATTTTGACAAGGGGTAGACTTTGACCCATCCTCCTCAATCTATATTAAAAAAATTAGTTTAATCAGTTTTATTTTATTATTTTAAAACAAAATAACTTAAAAAGTTACGTTAAAGTTTTTTTTTTTTTTTTAAAAGTCTTGGGTTGAGTTTGTTTAATGTAATTGGACTTTAGTATTGGGTTAAAATTAAGAATGAGTAATGTGTAAAATTTAGGACCATATCGGATGTTTGGCTTGAAAGGACCTCCCCTCCCCTCCCCTCCCCTCAACCCAAATATACTATAAATTAAACACTTAAATTTAGTTGAATTTAATAATTTTTTAGGGCAATGATTGGTATACTCTTCAGTTCAACACATTTGCCAACATTCATTAGCTAATTCAACCATTAAATTTTGCAAGCAACATTTTTCCACCTTAAATTCAAATTTAAAAATAATAATTTCCTAATAATTTGTTTTGAAGTATGTTGAACCAAAAGATGTACTAATCATTAGCAAATTTTTTATTATTTTATAAGAAACAAAGATCCTTGTAGGTATCGCAGGATAGGAAAATCTTTTGCAAAATTTCACAAAATGAAAATATTTCCCCTTCCTGCCTCGCAGGGAGAAATATTCCTCCCCATCCCAACCTTATGGCAGGGATCCCATGGAGCCTCAATGGGATTGAGAGAAGTTGTCATCCCTATCCATAAGTTTCAACACTTTCTCCTTCATTCCTCCTAATCATTTTTGTTGAATTTCAAACAAATAAAAACAGGTATCTCTCCTTGGTCGGACCATTGGGTGAAGCTATGTTTCTCTTACAGATGCAAAATCTATAATTCTCTCATAAGCGAGTTTGGATCTTGAGGCACCAACTTTACAGCGTTTCCCAGCTTGAGTTCCCTTACATCACATGCTGGGTTCACACACCTCCCCCTTTGGACCATCTCTTTATTATGGTCCTTTCCTTCTGCATTTTGCCAGCCTATATTATAGTGGAATAAAAATGTGTTCTTTTAGTGCAAATTACAAAATAAAAATGTGATTCAAGTTATAAATTTATTAAATTATCTTTAACGAAATTTCTCCTTGATGTTAATTCATTTATAACATTGTTAATAATTTTACTATTTACAATGTGTTGATGGACGTTTTTGTAAAATGTCAAACTTGGACTCAAGTAATTTCCACGTCATCAAGACTTGCCTTGATCTAAGTGCCCATTAATACCTTCAATGTGCATTTACCAAAAGGCCCAACAATATCTAATGCTGTATTACACGGCTAGGCCCAGCCATATCTAAAGCTACGGTACATGGCTGCATTGTCAAACGTACATATGGATGTCTCGTTCCTTTATTATTTCCTTATTTATTAAATTTCATCATTTTCATCGATTGATCACTATCTTTACATGCAAGTCATTAATGAACCCATGAATCTAATCTCATGGGGATTATTTGGGATAAACTATGAGAGTAATGGCTTCGCAGACATGGATGAATGAGCGTTGGATGTCTGGCGAAGCGAAGTATTTGTGCCAACCAAGCTTGGAGTTGGCGATGTTGCCTAACTTTGCAAAGAAGGGTGGGGTCGTGAAGACATGGAGTTAAAGCTTGATCCCAAAACTATACCGTTTGATGCTAACTAGAAGGCTTGGAATCTTATTAAAGACCAACTAGAGATGCTATTTGAGTCTCCATAAACAAGTTGTAGTTATATTTAATGTAAGGGTGGCTACACAAGTTTCATTGCATTGGAAATTGTTGAAAAAGGTGGCTATACATGTTTCATTGTATTGGAAACTATTGAAAAAGATTTCATTTTGCTTGAAAAATCTACCAAAATCTTGGACAGAATTGATTTTGCTAACTGTACTCAAGTAACCCTCCTAAAAATGGTATTTCTTATGGCTGGAGAATTACTAGGAATGGGGAGTCTCTAGCAAACCAATAGTCCTTCACTGGAACCAATAGTCCCTCGTTGGAACTAGCAATTCTTTGTTGGAACCATTGAACAACTTATGATATCACTTCAAAAAGTTGTTAGTAGTACCCAAAACTACTCAAAACTCGACAGTTGTCCTTATTTAACCTAGACTACCCATTGGATTACTAGGCAACTTTGATCCATCAACCCAAAATTACCAAAATGCCACAACATATATAAATATTGGTTTTCCCTTCATTTTTCAATAGATTTCAGATTTTGGGAGACACTTCATGCATTGGACTCCATTTTTCTCTGAAAAACTCTTCATCTTCAACCTCTCACCCCATATACTAAAATCACCTAGAAATCACCTAAAAATCACCATTTTTGTCATATTTTCTACACTCCCAACACTGTGGAATACTTTTTAGACTTGCAAAACATCATGATTGGGATACAACATGTTATAGTTTTAGACTTTGGGTTATTTTCTTAAGCCTCAGAGGTTCAAGCTATAGAGTTAACATTAAGAAACATGATCAAGTCGTCCATTCAAAAGCCCCCACAATGGTCATGCTTCCTTCTCCCATCAGTACTTTCTAGTTTATTTCTTCTTGTATGCATAAATTTGGAGAGAAATCATTATACTTCAAACTTCAAGTTAAAGGTTATTTATTTTAGAGTTTCATACATTTTTTGAAGATAATAGAGGGCACATCTATTATTTGTTTCTTCCATTCTACAATATATTGCATTTAGATATACTCATTTTATTATACAAGTTAATATTTACATTTTTTTGTCTAGGTTTTTCTAACTACAATCTCACTTTCCCATTTATTTATTTATTTTTTTGTTTTTGTTTTTTATGGTTGTATAATCATCATCTAGATGGATTACCTTCATTTAGGTTTTCTTCCTTGATGGGAGAAGGTTCACTCTTAAACTTCACCGAAGGCATCAGATTGCTCAATAGCCATTCATTTATTTTGGTGGCCATGTAATCGTTATCTTGGGAGCACCGTCATCACC